CTGAGCCAGAAAGCCAGGCTCTCGATTTACCGGTCGATCTACGTCCCAATCCTCACCTATGGTCATGAGCTTTGGGTAATGACCGAAAGAACGAGATCGCGGATACAAGCGGCCAAAATGAGTTTCCTCCGTAGGGTGGCCGGGCTCAGCCTTAGAGATAGGGTGAGGAGCTCGGACATTCGGGAGGGACTCGGAGTAGAACCGCTGCTCCTCCGGATCGAAAGGAGCCAGTTGAGGTGGTTTGGGCATCTGGTCAGGATGCCTCCTGGACGCCTCCCCGGGGAGGTGTTTCGGGCATGTCCTGCCGGCAGAAGGCCCCCGGGTCGACCCAGGACACGTTGGAGAGGTTACATCTCCAATCTGGTCCGGGAACGCCTTGGGGTCCTGCCGGAGGAGCTGGTGGACAAGGCCGGGGAGAGGACGGCCTGGAGCTCCCTAGTTGGGATGCTGCCCCCGCGACCCGGACCCGGATAAGCGGAGGAAGACGACGACGACGACGACTAATGCGGATCAAAGGAGATACACAGATGAATGCACCTCTTATTTATTTATGACTTCCTATCGCTGGTTCCTTCAAAGGCAGTTCGAAATCTGGGTGTTGTGATTGATGAACACCTGACCTTTAAAGATCATGTTGCCTCTGTTGCCCGTTCATGCCGCTTTGCGCTGTGTAACATACGTAAGATCAGACCATACCTAACACAACATGCCACCCAGCTCCTGGTGCAATCTACTGTCATCTCCCGCCTCCATTACTGCAATGCCCTTCTAACTGGTCTTCCAGGCTGGACTGTGAGACCTCTTCAAATGATCCAGAATGCAGCGGCGCGTCTGGTCTTCAATCAGCCTAAAAGAGCACACGTCACCCCTCTGTTCATTGAGCTCCACTGGCTACCGCTAGCAGCACGCATCAAATACAAACTGCTAACACTAGCATACAAAGTCCGAGACGGTACGGCTCCCATCTACCTGAATCCTCTTGCAAAGGCTTACGTCTCGGCCCGGCCGCTCCGGTCATCACAGGATTGTCGGCTAGCAGTGTCTACACCACGCTCAGGACAATCCAGACTCTTCTCATGCATCGTTCCACAAATGTGGAATGACCTTCCTAACACTACCAGAACTGCGGCTTCCTTTTCTATTTTCAAGAAACACCTGAAGACCCTGCTCTTCAGAGAGCATCTTGTAAACTAGCACCCTCCCTGCACCCGTCCCCCCTCCCTACTGTCCACTCCCTGTTCTCTCCTCTCCATGACTGATGTCAATTTGTTGTTGTTGTTGTTGTTAGCCTCAAGGGCAACATGCCGATTATCACTTGTAAGTCGCTTTGGACAAAAGCGTCTGCTAAATACATAAACATAAACATTTATTATTTGGAGATTACATTTACTGCAGCTGGCAGAGGCAGAGATTTTTTCTATTGATACACGGATTTACAGAATCATTTTAAATGTTAATAGGGGAAGACTGCAGGAGGGAGCGGTAAAATACAGGGGGTCCCCAGCAAAAACAAGAAACTTTACCAGTCTGATGAAACCCGCTGGTTTTCCATCAGGCAGTCACGGGGCAGCTCCAACGACCCAGTGGCTGTGCTGGGTCAGTGTTATCGAGCTCAGTCCGGCCGTGAACGAGCCGAGGCGACGTCGTGCTCTGCTTAAGAAGAGGTGTCATTTTCCGGCTTCAGAAGAAGCGTCCAACGTGTTTTTACGCTTTCTCCGACACATGTCACGTCGCTAAGATGTTAGCACCGCGCGCTAACACGTCAATAGTACAGCGTAGCCTGCTGGAGGTTTTAAGGGTTCAGATGAAAACACCCGACCTCTCAGGCTGCTCACACATCGATCTTAAGTTGTCGCTGTTGCGCTCACGCCGTAATACAGTATTGGATGCGGTTAAAGTCAGACATGAAAAAATAAATAAATTTTACATGAATAAGTGATGAAAAGAAGGGGGAGGAGAACCTGGCCTAATAAGCACTGGAGGAAACCCTGTCAAGATCGTCAACACTCGTTTATCTTAATGCTACTGAAACATGTGAACCAAAAAGCATTATATCCACTGCTGCCTTTCTAATTTTAAACTCAGTAACTTCACCTTGCCCTGCCTGCTCCTCCTTGCTGCCCGCCGGCTGTGATCACAAGCGACAACATAGTAATTCCCACTGCTTCTTCGGGAAACAGCGCAAAAAAAATAAATAAATAAATAAATAAAAATTTAAAACAAAACTTGGGATCTTGTAGGTGTGGCGGTGGGAATCCGCCACGGCTACGCCTATGTAAGGGAAACACTGGTGTCCCACAAGGTTCTGTGCTGGGGCCTCTGCTCTTCCTCCTCTATCTGCTTCCTCTTCAGCACATCCTGAGCTCCTTCAAAGGAATCTCCTACCATCTTTATGCAGATGACATCCAACTGTACATCTCCTTTAAGCCCCATGAGATGTCTAAGCTGCAGCTGTTACACACCTGCTTAGACTCTATCAAAACCTGGATGGTGGGAGCTTTCTACAGCTGAATGAAGATAAGACTGAGATCCTCATCTGTGCCCCAGACAAGCTGGTTCCCAAAGTCAGAGACTCTCTTGGTCAGCTTGCTTCCCACACCAAACCTTCTGTCAGGAATCTTGGTGTGACCTTTGACCCAGCTCTCACCCTGGATTCTCAGATCAGTTCTCTTGTTCGCTCTTCCTTCTTCCATCTCAGGAACGTTGCTAAGCTGAGTCCCATTCTGTCCCGCTCTGAACTTGAGACAGTTCTCCACACCTTCATCTCCTCACGCTTAGACTACTGTAACTCTCTTTTCACGTGTCTGAGCAGAACCTCCCTGAACCGTCTACAGGTGGTTCAGAACGCCTGTGCTCGGCTTCTGACCAAGTCCTCCAAACACACCCACATCACCCCGCTTCTCCTCCAGCTTCACTGGCTGCCAGTCACCTTCAGGGTTCATTTCAAGATCCTGGTTCTGGTCTATAGGGCCCTACATGGACAAGCACCATCTTACATTGGTGATCTTCTTAGTCCCTACACCCCCAGCAGGTCCCTGAGGTCCAGTGATCAAAGCCTACTGGTTGTGCAGCACCAGGCTAAAGGTCAAAGGTGACAGATTGTCTACTGCTGTGGCCCCGAGACTCTGAAACTCTCTCCCCCTGAGCCTGACATCAGTGGACTCCTTTAAAAAGCAGCTGAAGACTCACTTGTTCAGGCTGGCTTTTGTATGACCTTCGTGATTTTTATCTTGAGAGGCGCTATAGAAATGATATTTTCTTCTTCTTCTTCCCCGTCCAACAGGGAGGACAACCACCTTCCTCAGACCACGCTGGTCTGCGTTATCAGTTATACTCCCATGGGAAACAGCATGTTGACTGAATGCACCTGGTTTTGTTTGAGGGAGTTGTGGTATTGTTTTTACTCCCTACGTTAAACAGCTTTCCACCTGAATCTCTACGGAGCAGTTTAGGAATGTGATGTGATGTGTTGTGTGTGCTTGCTAATAAAACCCCTCAGAGAACGGATGTTCCCTGAGAGATCCTGTGAACGATGCTTGGGTGTGTATTCATTTCGTCTCTCTTTTTCTTCCCCGTGTCCTGTCTGGCTGTGAAGCAAACAGAATTGATGTCTGAATGCTGGTAACAAGCCTTACAGATTTACTCTCAGGTGGAGCATCAAAGCGTCTGCTTTTAATGTCACGCCTGATACTTAAAACTTTATTGTTACTGTTGTTGAATGCTTTGTAATTCCGACCAGACACGGAGTCAGAGGTGAAAGAGAAAGGAAAAGACAAGAGATGGGGAGATGGGGGGAAGGGGGTGGGAGGTTCCACAAAAATAAACAATAATGAACTAGAGTCTGCTTCTAGACCTGCAGAAAGAGAAAAGATTAAAAAAAAAAAAAAGGGACACCCTGAACAATACATCAGGAGCAAGCTATCACTGCGTCAACCTGATGATGAAATATAAAATCAACTTTGTTTAACTGAACAATCACACGATAATAAATCACAGTGCATTTAGTGGCAACGACAGCCTTAAGACCTGTGTTGAACGTGCCCAAGCCCATACTTTTGAGAGCACCTGTGTGTGTACACGCACTTGTTTATGTAAGGTTTCTCTATAGGAGCGTCCAATAGAGAGTGTGAGGGACCACAGATGTGTAGGAGACGGGGGGGGGGTCGCTGTCCTGAGCCCATAACCCGCTCCGGCTGCTTCTGTCACGTTCAGTCAACCATCGGACACGCCACTCGTCACGGATGAAGCTGAACGTTCAGCTCTCCCGTCAGTAAAACAAGCAGTAAGTGTAGCAACTCAGTGTTGTCCACATATAGAATATCTGCAACAATGATTAAAGTGGTTTCACTGAACATCCTAATCATCTATGAAGCACACGACAGCTCTGGATGCTAAAATTCTCCTAAATCATTCATCACTGAATAAATCTGATCACACGATAGCTTACAGATAACTTCTGCTGACACAAATGTGAGCTCTCTCCCTCTCGGTTACCACGGAGACGCATTTGCCGCACACGCGCCACCGGTTCTGTCCTGCTCTCGCTTCATCCCGCCCTTCTTGCTCTTCATGTTGATGCTCGTGTTGTGACACATGGTCAGTGATGTCATCATTAATGTTTCGCTCTGGTTCAAAGTGAAAAGGCTGAACAGATGACGTGTTGATGTCGCTCAACAGTCACTACAGGGTCCCAAAGCCGCCGGTGCAACCGAGGTACAACCATATGACGTCACTACCCAGAGTGCAGTGCGACGCTAACAACAATGGCGACCTACGAGTTAAACCATTTTTACTAATTTTATAAAGATTAAGACATCAAGAAGGTTTTACACCATTTTAATATAACTGATACTAACATTTATCTTTTCAGAAGCACAGAGTTTTGTAACCTGGGTTCCTTTTAAAATGACAACTTTTGTCGCCAATGGCAGTGAATGAGTTAATGATGATGAGGGTGGCTCCTAGAGGCTGAGGTGTAGGGCTAAAGTGTCATCACTCACTTTGGTCTGGTCCAGACGCCGTCTCTTTACTGGTGCTCCTCAGTAGGTGACGTGAAGCTCCAACATCTGAGCGTTCTGTGTTCCTCAGAGGAGAAGAACAGTAACATTAGCACTGCCTACATTATTTTTACTAGCATCTCAAGGCCTTGGAGAAGCAGATCTTCACTTACCTAAACATCAGACCAGTTTGTCCCAGCTGAGCTCATCAGGGCGTTAGCCTGACAGCCTGTCAGTGAAACACGGCTCCATCCTTCTGGATGTGGACTCTAAAAAGCAAAGGAGCCTTTTTACTGTTGTTTTCATTATTTTACAGCTGATTTGATCAGATTTCTGACGCTCATGCAGACGAGTGTCGGTGAGAGTTAAAGCTTTAATGTATTTTCCTGACTTAAATGTTCTTTTTAAGTAATCATGTGTTAAAGTAAGTCTCAGGGCGTTGTCCTTTCAGCCCAGCTCTGGTATGCTGATAAGACATGTAATTTGTCTCTGTGGGGGTTGGTGGAATAATCTGCCCGGCAACAGGAACCCATAGTTTCTGAGTGACTCAGCAGTTTTTGGCTGACCAGCAAGCAACTCCATAAAATGGATCCTTCCCCTTAGGGAAGACCCAGCCTGAGAACAGCTCTGTTATCAAACACACTTTATGCTGATGTTTCTGGACTCCTCGCTGCTTTCAAACGTGAACGTGAGTCCGCTCGGTGTCGTTAATCATTTTTACCGGGCTGACTCCGACACGTGCCGGTGAACCAACCCACCTTCATGTCGCTAGTGTTAGCCCCAGGCTCCGGTTAGCTTCCAGCTAAAAGGCTACAGCACTCTCCTCCCAGTCCCACCCTGCTAAAGAGGGCCTGGAAAAGTTCCCCCACACATCAAAGTGATTTTTCCTTTATGAGCTTTTATAACCTTGTTAATCAGGATAGTTGATTTGCTGCTGCACATAAACTGTCAGTCAGAAGCTCTGCTAGCCGCTTATCTTAGAGGAGCTAGTTCACTTTGTTAGCTTGTTATCAGAATCATAGTTGCAGTTTCATCATCTGAGCTGCTTTTTAAATTCAAATTCAATTTTTATTTGTCACATACACATTCATACACAGTACAAAATGCAGTGAAATGCCTTACACAACTGCTCGTGACCTAAGAGTTGAAAATAAAAATAAACTGTACACCACAAATTAAAATGAAGGGTCAGTTTAACTGGGAAAGAGTTAAGTAAATTATATCTGAATTAAAGTTGAATAATAGAATAGCTTTACAACAAAATACACAATACAATACAAATTAGAATAAAAGCTAAATTTAGCTGGGAAGGAATAAGATAAAATATATATAAATTGTAGTTGAGAATAAAGTAACTGTACAACAAAATACACAGTATGTAAATGTATAAGAATGTATGAAGAAATAAAAATATCTGTACAAAACAGCAGCTGAACGAGTATTAAATGGAAATGAAAAAAAAATATATATATATAATGATGAATAAGATCTAGGTAAACTTGTTCAATTTGGGGTTAAAAACAAACGTTTTCACATATTTTACATGTAGTTTTTTGCCAGTTCCTCTTCTGAAAGGTAGACAATTGTTTTTCGCTTTCCCTCAGAAAATCTTAATATTCTCCTAGTTTGGCCCAGCACAGTTCACTTCCCAGTTACAGCAACAGCCTCATATCATAACCACATAAGTGGAGAACATGCTCAGTAGCAATGAGAGAATTAGCTGTTGCATTTAAGTGATGTTAACTATTATTTAACATTTAAACTTATTTTCTGATTTTTTTTTATTTATTTATTCTAAAAACCCTGGTAAGGGATGTTTTTCTGTATTTGGAGCATCAGAGAAAGTTTTATGGTGGAGGTGATGTTTTAAAGTCACTGAGAAACTGCATGCTAGCAGTTTGTTGTTTTGCTGCTAATACAGTAGCAGGTGCAGCTGCTAATACGGTAGCAGGCACAGCTGCTAATACAGTAGCGGGTGCAGCTGCTAATACAGTAGCGGGTGCAGCTGCTAATACGGTAGCGGGTGCAGCTGCTAATACAGTAGCAGATGCAGCTGCTAATACAGTAGCGGGTGCAGCTGCTAATACAGTAGCGGGTGCAGCTGCTAATACAGTAGCGGGTGCAGCTGCTAATACAGTAGCAGGTGCAGCTGCTAATACAGTAGCGGGTGCAGCTGCTAATGCGGTAGCGGGTGCAGCTGCTAACACGGTAGCGGGTGCAGCTGCTAATACATTAGCAGGCACAGCTGCTAACACGGTAGCAGGTGCAGCTGCTAATACAGTATTAGGTGCAGCTGCTAATACATTAGCAGGTGCAGCTGCTAATACAGTAGCAGGTGCAGCTGCTAATACAGTAGCAGGTACAGCTGCTAATACGGTAGCAGGTGCAGCTGCTAATACAGTAGCGGGTGCAGCTAATAACACGGTAGCAGGTGCAGCTGCTAATTCAGTAGCGGGTGCAGCTGCTAATACATTAGCAGGTGCAGCTGCTAATACAGTAGCAGGTGCAGCTGCTAATACTGTAGCGGGTACAGCTGCTAATACAGTAGCAGGTGCAGCTGCTAATACAGTAGCAGGTGCAGCTGCTAATACGGTAGCGGGTGCAGCTGCTAACACGATAGCGGGTGCAGCTGCTAATACATTAGCAGGCACAGCTGCTAACACGGTAGCAGGTGCAGCTGCTAATACAGTATTAGGTGCAGCTGCTAATACATTAGCAGGCACAGCTGCTAACACGGTAGCAGGTGCAGCTGCTAATACAGTATTAGGTGCAGCTGCTAATACAGTAGCAGGTGCAGCTTCTAATACTGTAGCGGGTACAGCTGCTAATACGGTAGCAGGTGCAGCTGCTAATACAGTAGCAGGTGCAGCTGCTAATACAGTAGCGGGTGCAGCTGCTAACACGGTAGCAGGTGCAGCTGCTAATACAGTAGCGGGTGCAGCTGCTAATACATTAGCAGGTGCAGCTGCTAATACAGTAGCAGGTGCAGCTGCTAATACTGTAGCGGGTACAGCTGCTAATACAGTAGCAGGTGCAGCTGCTAATACAGTAGCAGGTGCAGCTGCTAATACGGTAGCGGGTGCAGCTGCTAATACGGTAGCAGGTACAGCTGCTAATACAGTAGCGGGCGCAGCTGCTAGTACAGTATTAGGTGCAGCTGCTAATACATTAGCAGGCGCAGCTGCTAACACGGTAGCAGGTGCAGCTGCTAATACAGTAGCGGGCGCAGCTGCTAATACAGTATTAGGTGCAGCTGCTAATACATTAGCAGGTGCAGCTGCTAATACAGTAGCAGGTGCAGCTGCTAATACGGTAGCAGGTGCAGCTGCTAATACAGTAGCGGGTGCAGCTGCTAACACTGTAGCGGGTGCAGCTGCTAATACAGTAGCGGGTGCAGCTGCTAATACAGTAGCGGGTGCAGCTGCTAATACAGTAGCGGGTGCAGCTGCTAATACAGTAGCGGGTGCAGCTGCTAATACGGTAGCGGGTGTAGCTGCTAATACGGTAGCGGGTGCAGCTGCTAATACAGTAGCGGGTGCAGCAGCTAATATGGTAGCGGGTGCAGCTGCTAATACAGTAGCGGGTGCAGCTGCTAACACGGTAGCAGGTGCAGCTGCTAATACAGTAGCAGGTGCAGCTGCTAATACAGTAGCAGGTGCAGCTGCTAATACAGTAGCGGGCGCAGCTGCTAGTACAGTATTAGGTGCAGCTGCTAATACATTAGCAGGTGCAGCTGCTAATACAGTAGCAGGTGCAGCTGCTAATACTGTAGCGGGTACAGCTGCTAATACGGTAGCAGGTGCAGCTGCTAATACAGTAGCGGGTGCAGCTGCTAACACGGTAGCCGGTGCAGCTGCTAATACAGTAGCGGGTGCAGCTGCTAATACATTAGCAGGTGCACCTGCTAATACAGTAGCAGGTGCAGCTGCTAATACAGTAGCAGGTGCAGCTGCTAATACTGTAGCGGGTACAGCTGCTAATACAGTAGCAGGTGCAGCTGCTAATACAGTAGCAGGTGCAGCTGCTAATACGGTAGCGGGTGCAGCTGCTAATATGGTAGCAGGTACAGCTGCTAATACAGTAGCGGGCGCAGCTGCTGACACGGTAGCAGGTGCAGCTGCTAATACAGTAGCGGGCGCAGCTGCTAATACAGTATTAGGTGCAGCTGCCAATACAGTAGCAGGTGCAGCTGCTAATACGGTAGCAGGTGCAGCTGCTAATACAGTAGCGGGTGCAGCTGCTAATACAGTAGCGGGTGCAGCTGCTAATACAGTAGCGGGTGCAGCTGCTAATACAGTAGCAGGTGCAGCTGCTAATACAGTAGCAGTTGCAGCTGCTAATACAGTAGCAGCTGCTAATACAGTAGCAGGTGCAGCTGCTAATACAGTATTAGGTGCAGCTGCTAATACATTAGCAGGTGCAGCTGTTAATACAGTAGCAGGTGCAGCTGCTAATACGGTAGCAGGTGCAGCTGCTAACACTGTAGCTGGTGCAGCTGCTATTACAGTAGCGGGTGCAGCTGCTAATATAGTAGCGGGTACAGCTGCTAATACAGTAGCAGGTGCAGCTGCTAACACTGTAGCTGGTGCAGCTGCTAATACAGTAGCGGGTGCAGCTGCTAATACAGTAGCGGGTGCAGCTGCTAATACAGTAGCGGGTGCAGCTGCTAATACAGTAGCAGGTGCAGCTGCTAATACAGTAGCGGGTGCAGCTGCTAATACAGTAGCAGGTGCAGCTGCTAATACAGTAGCAGGTGCAGCTGCTAATACAGTAGCAGGTGCAGCTGCTAATACAGTAGCAGGTGCAGCTGCTAATACGGTAGCGGGTGCAGCTGCTAACACTGTAGCTGGTGCAGCTGCTAATACAGTAGCGGGTGCAGCTGCTAATACAGTAGCGGGTGCAGCTGCTAATACAGTAGCAGGTGCAGCTGCTAATACGGTAGCAGGTGCAGCTGCTAATACGGTAGCGGGTGCAGCTGCTAATACGGTAGCAGGTGCAGCTGCTAACACTGTAGCGAGTGCAGCTGCTAATACAGTAGCGGGTACAGCTGCTAATACGGTAGCGGGTACAGCTGCTAATACGGTAGCGGGTGCAGCTGCTAATACGGTAGCGGGTGCAGCTGCTAATACGGTAGCGGGTGCAGCTGCTAATACGGTAGCGGGTGCAGCTGCTAATACGGTAGCGGGTGCAGCTGCTGATACGGTAGCAGGTGCAGCTGCTAATACGGTAGCAGGTGCAGCTGCTAATACGGTAGCAGGTGCAGCTGCTAATACGGTAGCAGGTGCAGCTGCTAACACGGTAGCAGGTGCAGCTGCTAACACTGTAGCTGGTGAAGCTGCTAATACAGTAGCGGGTGCAGCTGCTAATACAGTAGCGGGTGCAGCTGCTAATACAGTAGCGGGTGCAGCTGCTAATACAGTAGCGGGTGCAGCTGCTAATACAGTAGCGGGTGCAGCTGCTAATACAGTAGCGGGTGCAGCTGCTAACAGCTGCTAACACTGTAGCTGGTGCAGCTGCTAATACAGTAGCGGGTGCAGCTGCTAATACGGTAGCGGGTGCAGCTGCTAATACGGTAGCGGGTGCAGCTGCTAATACGGTAGCGGGTGCAGCTGCTAATACGGTAGCGGGTGCAGCTGCTAATACGGTAGCAGGTGCAGCTGCTAATACGGTAGCAGGTGCAGCTGCTAACACGGTAGCAGGTGCAGCTGCTAACACTGTAGCTGGTGCAGCTGCTAATACAGTAGCAGGTGCAGCTGCTAATACAGTAGCAGGTGCAGCTGCTAATACAGTAGCAGGTGCAGCTGCTAATACAGTAGCGGGTGCAGCTGCTAATACAGTAGCGGGTGCAGCTGCTAATACAGTAGCAGGTGCAGCTGCTAATACGGTAGCGGGTGCAGCTGCTAACACGGTAGCGGGTGCAGCTGCTAATACAGTAGCGGGTGCAGCTGCTAATACATTAGCAGGTGCAGCTGCTAATACAGTAGCGGGTGCAGCTGCTAATACATTAGCAGGTGCAGCTGCTAATACAGTAGCAGGTGCAGCTGCTAATACAGTAGCAGGTGCAGCTGCTAATACTGTAACGGGTACAGCTGCTAATACGGTAGCAGGTGCAGCTGCTAATACAGTAGCAGGTGAGGCTGCTAATACAGTAGCAGGTGCAGCTGCTAACACGGTAGCAGGTGCAGCTGCTAATACAGTAGCAGGTGCAGCTGCTAATACAGTAGCAGGTGCAGCTGCTAATACAGTAGCGGGCGCAGCTGCTAGTACACTATTAGGTGCAGCTGCTAATACAGTAGCAGGCACAGCTACTAACACGGTAGCAGGTGCAGCTGCTAATACAGTAGCGGGCGCAGCTGCTAATACAGTATTAGGTGCAGCTGCTAATACATTAGCAGGCGCAGCTGCTAATACAGTAGCAGGTGCAGCTGCTAACACGGTAGCAGGTGCAGCTGCTAATACAGTAGCGGGTGCAGCTGCTAATACAGTAGCAGGTGCAGCTGCTAATACAGTAGCAGGTGCAGCTGCTAATACAGTAGCGGGTGCAGCTGCTAATACAGTAGCGGGTGCAGCTGCTAATACAGTAGCAGGTGCAGCTGCTAATACAGTAGCAGGTGGAGCTGCTAACACTGTAGCTGGTGCAGCTGCTAACACTGTAGCTGGTGCAGCTGCTAATACAGTAGCTGGTGCAGCTGCTAATACAGTAGCGGGTGCAGCTGCTAATACAGTAGCGGGTGCAGCTGCTAATACAGTAGCGGGTGCAGCTGCTAATACAGTAGCGGGTGCAGCTGCTAATACAGTAGCGGGTGCAGCTGCAAATACAGTAGCAGGTGCAGCTGCTAACACGGTAGCAGGTGCAGCTGCTAATACGGTAGCGGGTGCAGCTGCTAATACATTAGCGGGTGCAGCTGCTAATACAGTAGCGGGTGCAGCTGCTAATACTGTAGCGGGTACAGCTGCTAATACGGTAGCAGGTGCAGCTGCTAATACGGTAGCAGGTGCAGCTGCTAACACGGTAGCAGGTGCAGCTGCTAATACAGTAGCAGGTGCAGCTGCTAATACAGTAGCAGGTGCAGCTGCTAACACGGTAGCAGGTGCAGCTGCTAATACAGTAGCAGGTGCAGCTGCTAATACGGTAGCAGGTGCAGCTGCTAACACGGTAGCAGGTGCAGCTGCTAACACGGAAGCAGGTGCAGCTGCTAATACATTAGCAGGCGCAGCTGCTAGTACAGTATTAGGTGCAGCTGCTAATACATTAGCAGGCGCAGCTGCTAACACGGTAGCAGGTGCAGCTGCTAATACAGTAGCGGGCGCAGCTGCTAATACAGTATTAGGTGCAGCTGCTAATACATTAGCAGGTGCAGCTGCTAATACAGTAGCAGGTGCAGCTGCTAATACAGTAGCGGGTGCAGCTGCTAACACTGTAGTGGGTGCAGCTGCTAATACAGTAGCGGGTGCAGCTGCTAATACAGTAGCGGGTGCAGCTGCTAATACAGTAGCAGGTGCAGCTGCTAATACAGTAGCGGGTGTAGCTGCTACTACAGTAGCGGGTGCAGCTGCTAATACAGTAGCGGGCGCAGCTGCTAGTACAGTATTAGGTGCAGCTGCTAATACATTAGCAGGCGCAGCTGCTAATACAGTAGCGGGTGCAGCTGCTAATACAGTAGCGGGTACAGCTGCTAATACAGTAGCGGGTGCAGCTGCTAATACAGTAGCGGGTGAAGCTGATAATACAGTAGCAGGTGCAGCTGCTAATACAGTAGCAGGTGCAGCTGCTAATACAGTAGCGGGTGCAGCTGCTAATACAGTAGCGGGTGCAGCTGCTAATACGGTAGCGGGTGCAGCTGCTAATACAGTAGCAGGTGCAGCTGCATGTTTTTGCAATAAAAATGTTATGTTGTAATGGAATTCATGCATTAGTTTTTGTTTGCTTTGAACCCAGAGCAGACGTCACACGCCAGACGACATCAACACTGCATACTTTAGTATTTGTTCATTTATCGTGAGTAATATCGATATCGCAATATTAAGCACTGTTATCGAATATCGCAGGTTTTCCTAATATCGTGCAGCCCTAGTTTCAAAAATCCCAAACAGGGTTGTATGCAATCTGCTATTGTAGAATAATCTAGAACAGGTTTAACAGCGTGTCTGTTGTAGTTTTTGAGCTACAGCTGTTCCATCGTTGGCCAGATGCTGAAAAACCCCATAATTCAGGCTTTGTTGAAGTTTCACAAATCAGGGAAAGGATCACAAATCCTATACGGTTTAATTTGATCTGCTTTTATAGTAGAATATTCTAGAACAGGTCTGAATAGTGTGGGTGTTGTAGTTTTTGAGGTAGAGCAGATTAAATAAGGTCAGAGTAGAGAAAAATTGTGTGTAACGGCCCTTTAGCCGTTTCCCGAATCGGAGGTTAACTTCAGCCTCGTTTAGTCGCGCTGCTCTTTAGCTGATGTGGGATTTATTTACTGGATGCTAACATCACATCACACTCACGGAGTAACACACACAGGCGCTCTGCTGCTACAGTCAGTGGAAGGTTATCATCTGGTGTAAAAAGGCGTTCATCACAATTCCCAGATCACGTTTTATTCCACGAAAATCGTCCGAATCCACATTAATCTGGGTGCTAGCTTTACCTGCATGTTGTGCTAGCTTTAGCAGGTGGGATGCTAATGCTAGCACGCTGCTAATGCCCGTAAATGAACGTGTACAGTAAAGTTAGCCGACATTTTAGAGTGATATGAAGCTTACCGCTCTGCTGCTGTGTCGAGCTGGGTCCAGCCAGCCGCGGGGCCTTTCTGCTGGGCTAAACTAGTTCGTGTCGCACCGCCACGGCTCAACAAAAGCCACCACACCTATAAAACACACTTTTGTTGCCTTCTCTAAGAGATGCTAATGACTCCAACTTGTTGTTTCCGTTTCGGATCTTTATTCCGGGTTACTGTTGGCCGCAGCCAACGTCTTAACTCCAGCAGAAACACCGTTAACGATCTCCGATCACACTAGCTCGTTTTCTTCTAAACAACCGAACCGGAACTCTGCACACAGCCGGCCAAGAACAGCCCTTCAACATAAAAGTCCAACCAATCCAATTTTATTTATAAAGCGCATTCAACAAGGCATTACAACCAAACAAGGTGCTGTACACTAAAAATGTTAGTTAGTTAGTCGAACACAGTTAAAAGATAAAAAGGAAATACAAAAAAATTCCCAAAACTAACAGCTAAAATTCAATAAGACACAGGGAGAATAAAAAATTAGAAAAACATTTTTAAAAATAACCTCAATAGTACGGAAGGTGATATTGTGAATTCCGAGGGCCACCATCCGTTATGCCATGCACATTGAGAACAAACTGAAGACTAAAGCTGATTTCAGATTTAATAATTTGTTTAACCCTCTGGAGGCAGGCGTTGCAGATTAGCAACGTAAAAAACCTACCTACCTGGTTACTCCACATACGTACTTCATGAGCATTTTTAACTCAGAAGTTCCCCTGAAGGACTTAGTTGTTCGTCCTTTTAGCAAGACTTATTTTGAGCCTGAGAGGGTTAACACTAAAGTGACTTGTTTTAGTATGACGTTGCATTTTTGGTTCTTTTTAAAACACAGAAAAGGTTTTTTTTTTTACCTTGCTGACAGTTTCGTTCGTGGCTGTAAACTTCCTCAGAGCTGACTCTGATGGTGGCGTCACTTCCTACGCCGTTTATCCGCGGGCAGCAGAGGACGTTGTCGCCCACAGGTTTTTTTGTTGCCTTCACTATTTTTCAGCCTCATGTTCAGCTCTTTCAGAGTTTTGGGGCAACCGTCGCCATCCTTTTCCAGGTGTTCCCTCATCTGGTGGATTAAAAACAAAGTTTGTGCTGGACTGAATCCCTGGTTTGCTGCCAGGCTTGAAGTGGACGTTGAGGCCACGTTCTCTTTGGCTTTAAGGACGGGTAAAAACAATAGTTATGATGCTGCAAGAACATTTCACATTTATTATGTTAATAGTAACGTTTACTTCAGGAGCTTTACCCGACTCGTCAAAAACATCCTCCTCAGCCTCTATAAGGCTGGCCTCTATTGTGAGATCCTCATCCATGGAGCACGTGGGACTGCCCTGCCTCTGGAACGAGGGGCCAGGAAAGGGGAAACTCCTCTGTTCGTCTAGGAGCATTGCCATGTTTTTGTCCAAATAGACTGCAAAATCAACAAATGAAGATTAAAATGAAATACATTTGATACAATTAAAAATATTTAACGCAAAAATGCAGCTACAGGTAGAAAATAATGTAAACCATGATTAGGACTCTAAAAACAGACAGCCTAAAAATACAAATGTAATCCCTGAAAACTGAAATCTCAGTAGGCAGTTTGGAATCAAAGAGAGAAAAATAAAAAGCTATCTTTACGAGCTGTGTATCTTTTGCTTAGTGGGGGAGTGGGATAGCACACCTCCCAAGTAGCCATTGTTTGTATAACGTAGTTATAAGCTGTATGTTCGACATGCAAACAACCCTGTTAGATTGTTCAGCTTGGAGTTACAGGCGCTACATATAACACTGATTTTAGACGCACTCTCATAAGTGTGTCTTGTAAAATAAACACATTTCAATCAAAACTTACAGTTGTTGATACAGAGAGCTGCCATTTTGGATCTCGAAGTCGGGGTTGTGAAAATTTTCAGAGTTTCCGACTGGGAGGTCTGATGTGGGGGGGCGTTTCATTTGAATTTTCCTACTCGGAGGTGGGGATTTCTGAGTTCTGAGGACAAATCGAAAGCACAGTCAGCAGCAACAACCTGACTCCAGGTAGCAGCTGCAGCGGGTCAGCTCCACACTGATGCAGCTGCAGCGGTTCTTCTCCACACTGATGCAGCTGCAGTGGGTCAGCTCCACACTGATGCAGCTGCAGTGGGTCAGCTCCACACTGATGCAGCTGCAGCGGTTCTTCTCTACACTGATGCAGCTGCAGCGGTTCTTCTCCACACTGATGCAGCTGCAGCGGTTCGGCTCAACACTGTTGCAGCTGCAGCGGTTCTTCTCCACACTGATGCAGCTGCAGCGGGTCAGCGCCACACTGATGCAGCTGTAGCGGTTCGGCTCCACACTGATGCAGCTGCAGCGGTTCGGCTCCACACTGATGCAGCTGTAGCGGTTCGGCTCCACACTGATGCAGCTGCAGCGGTTCTTCTCCACACTGATGCAGCTGCAGCGGTTCTTCTCCACACTGATGCAGCTGCAGCGGGTCAGCGCCACACTGATGCAGCTGCAGCGGTTCGGCTCCACACTGATGCAGCTGCAGCGGTTCGGCTCCACACTGTTGCAGCTGCAGCGGTTCTTCTCCACACTGTGGTGTAATGTTCTGTTATGCTGTTGTGGATTACAGGTGACTGGTTATGACGTCAGCAGGGTGACTAGGGAGAGGAGACGGCGGCCATGTTATGGGGACATGCAGTGAGAAAATAAAGCCACGTTAAACCCACAGTTGGACTCACGCAGTGTTTTAATAACGCGACATGGTGTCAGAAGTCCTGTGCTAACGTGGACTGAAGAGGACGGACGTCGAAGGATTTTTTTTCTCAACAGCAAGAGGTCAGAATGAGCCAAGGGGAAGACGTTAGTAGCAGCAGCAGCTAGCAGCAGCTGCGCCGGGACAGAGGGTCGCAGCTGCACCGGGTCCAGGACAGAGTGCTACGTTTAACATCCAGCCGCCAGAGCCCTTCGACTTCATGAAACCAGAAGAGTGGGAAAAATGGATCCGCAGATTCGAAAGGTTCCGCCTGCCAAGTAACTTGAACAATAGCACTGAGGAGAATCAAGTTAACACGCTGATGTATTGTATGGGAGATGAGGCTGATGATATCCTGCGAGGACTGACGCTAGCTTCGGCTCAAAGAAACATGTATAGTGGGGTACGTGACGGCTTCCTGAGCTTCTTCGTAGCTAAAAAGAACGTTATTAATGAGAGAGCTAGGTTCAACATGCGACAGCAGAAGGAAGGAGAGTCAGTGGATTCTTTTGTGACTGCTTTATATGCGCTAGCAGAACACTGCAAGTACAGAGAGCTTCACGACGAACTGATCAGAGACAGGCTTGTTGTTGGTCTGCTGGATAAAGGCCTGTCAGAGTGCATGCAACTTGACGCCGGGGACACACCGGCCGCGGAAGCGCCGCGAAGCGCCGAGAAGTGAATCGCTCACGAAATTCGGCCGCTGCTCACCGCTCCTCAGTTCAGATCAGACGGGCCCCAGTCGAGGCGCGCCTCGGCTCAGCTGTAGTTTTTCTTTTAAACACTTGGTGTCCTCCAGTTCCTCTCTGCCTTTTCTCAGCTCTTTTCCTCTACGTTTGAGTGTTTGTACGTTGTGTGTGTGTGTGTGTGTGTGTGTGTGTGTGTGTGAACTTATGGTATGAACCAGGTTGCCAAGGATACCCAGCGGGGGCCTCAGGCCTACATGGGACATTTGTTGGCCTCTCGGCCAAACGAGGTTTTGGCCCTAGATTATACTGTGCTGGAGCCCTCTGGTGACGGGTGTGAGAACGTCCTGGTGATGACAGATGTCTTCAGCAAATATACACTGGCTGTCCCTACCAAAGACCAGCGGGCTTCTACTGTGGCACAGGCATTGGTGACTGAGTGGTTCTTGAAGTTCGGCGTTCCAGCACAGATACATTCAGACCAAGGCCGAAACTTCGAGAGCACTCTCATTCAGCAGCTGTGTGCTTTGTATGGGATCAAGAAGTCCCGAACCACTCCATACCATCCATCAGGTAATGGACAGTGCGAGCGGTTTAATAGAACACTCCATAACTTGCTTCGCACTTTACCCACCTCTCATAAACGAGACTGGAGTTCCTACTTGCCACAGCTGTTGTTCTCATATAACACCACTCCCCACCAGGCCACAGGGGAATCTCCTTTTTTTCTTTTGTTCGGACAGGAGCCAAGGCTACCGGTGGACTTCCTGCTTGGTCGTGTCCGGGACCCAGTGGGAGGCCATGTCCAGAACTGGGTCCAGGAACATCAGAGCCGGCTACAGTTTGCCTTTCAGGGGGCAAGAGAGAGAATGGCAGCAGCGGCTCAGCGTAGGAAAACCTACCACGATCAGTGGGTCAAAAGCTCCCCTCTGGCTGAGGGCCAGCAGGTGCTACTGCGGCAACATGGCATAAAGGGTCGGCATAAGATCCATGATCTGTGGAGCCCAGTGATACATGTGGTGGTGAAAGCACCAAAGGAGGGAAGCCCAGTGTATGGAGTGGCACCAGTGGAGGATCAGACCAAGGTCAGACATGTTCATCGTAGCATGTTGAAGCCACTGGTAGGAACCACTCCACTGGAGAGCACTGCTCCCCCTCCACAGTTGTCTGTCCAACGGGAGGATGAAGGGGAGCTCTCAATGGATAGTGACCTTGATGAGAGTGACCTTTTTGTTTTGGAATTTCAGGATTATGCGACAGTCCCGACACCGACCACTACAGTGGATCAGGTTACACCGGGGGCACCAAGGGCAGTAGCACAACCAGCTCCCACAGTGGTGAGTCCCACAGGCCCCACAGAGTCTGAGTTAATGGTGACCCAAGCCGTCCCACTTGTTTCGCAACCTACGTCAGTTGCCCATTGCCCTGCAGTAATGGAAACTAATGTCCGGCGAACTCAGAGGCGCACTGCTGGATGGCACTCCAACCTCCATCACCTCCCTAGACCAGTAGGAGGGTCAGAGCAACAAGCTGAGCCCCTGACTGCAGACATATCAGGTATGAGGTGGATAGTTTTTAGACCATGGGAATGAATCCCAGGCTTTGGTGAGTGATCGTTGGGGCGACGATCTATTTGGTGGGGGTGGATTGTAGTGGGATGAGTCACCTGACACCAAGTAATTGGACGACCTATCATTGAGGGAAGGCGCTCATATAAATAGGGTCTGAGGTGGCGCTACAGCGATCTTTTTCTTTGGCTTAACTTCCGCTTCCTGTGTGAAAAGCCGTTGTGTACGGGACTCCGGCGTGTCGGACTGAATTGTTGTATGTGGTCCTCCCAGAGTAACGGAAGGCTTCTTTTATCCTATGTGCTTCAAACAAGTGATCCAGGAAGGAGTGTGTCTCCACAGGAGACTCTGTTGTTCTGCTGTTCTGCTGCTTTTCTGCACAGTTGCAGGGGATCTCTGTTTACCGGTTGTTGACCCAGTGCTGGACCATCATCCGGCTCCAAGACCTCTCCACCCCGCTGCTCGGACTGGTTGACGGGATCAGCGGAGACCATCGGGAGCGGCTTTTGTCACTCGCTCCTCTGTACTGAATACCAGCGGAGGGCGTACACCCGCTGTGGGGTTGGGTATTCTAACGAGGGGCTGCGGGCCCTACCGGCAGTTGTCGTCTGCCCGGGAGCTCATAAGGATGGCTGAGGCGCAGGCTAATAGACTCGTGTGCAGGCGAGCTGTATGCTCGCTCATTCCCTGACGGCCTGCCTGCTCAGTCGTGGCTGTGTTTTAGTGTGTGTGTGTGTGTGTGGATTTGGATTTTTACTGTGTTTTCTGTTTTCATTTCATTTAGGCTGTGAGCTGACAGTGGTGGTCGAGCCCTGGTGGTGGTCCCTTTGATGGTGTGCGTGTGCTCCAGAGTCACTTCACCCCCCGAATGCATGCACGTGTGATTGGGGTGAAATTACTTGTGGTTGGTATTTAGTTCCGGGCTCTCTTAGGCAGCCCCATTAGTCAGCCTCAGCCTAAGTTGATTTGGTTTTAAGCAGTGTTGATCTGCAGGTGCATGGTGTGTTTTAGATTATTTTAAACTCATTTTATTCTTTTAATAAAATCCCTGTTTGTGTGGAATGGAACTCCGTCTCAAGCTTGATTTGTAAAAATGAACTAATGTGCCTTAAGTTCAGTGGTTTTGGTTCCTGATAATCAGGTGGCGTTGTTTCTAAATTGATGAGTGGCCCCGCTCGCCACACACGCATTTACCTCTGTAAAAAGATCACTCCCTGTCGTTGTCCCTTTCATCGACCGCATTGCTGCCAGCTCCTCTGTGAGCTTGAAGTCCGTTATCCCCCGGACCTTGGGCTTCCTGACAGGGTTGCGGAAGGCGCTTTAGAAATAAAGCTTTGATTGATTGTTATCCCCCGGACAAATACGAGCAGCTGGGCTGTGTCCCGGACATCACAGCTCTCGTCTAATGAGAAAAAGTCAAAACTTGCCACTTCACGTTGCAGCTGAAGCTCCAGCTCCCCGCAATGTCCTCGATCCTCCTGGTCACGGTTCACCTGGACAGCGGGATTTGCTCAAATGCGCCTTTTTTCAGGGCATATTAGTGCGGCAGAGTCCACCATGCACTCTTTGACAAACTCTCCCTCCGAAAACGGTTCGCTGTTTTTAGCTGTTTTGTGGGACATCACAAAGCTGGTCCTGGTTGCTGCATCCCTGGATGTGTGAAGCTTAGTAAAAAAGCCTTGCTGCTTTTGCAACTTTGCTAGCAAAGCTTCGGATGTCCGTTCCCTCTCAGCATCAGACAAGTTCTTGTATTTTTCTGAGTGTTTCTTGTCGTAATGCCGACTCAAATTGTAGTCCTTAAACACGGCAATCTCCTCCCCGCAAACCAAACACACGGCTTTACCTCCGACTTCAGTAAAAAAAAATACTTAAAAGTCCAATTTTTGTTGAAAATCCTGCATTCGGCATCTTTTTTTTTTTTTGCATGAGCGGACATTTCTGGGGCTATGTCAACCGCTGGCACTTGTTGCTATACGTATTGCGTCATTGTGCACGTAAAAAACAACTTCAAAATAAAAGCAATGCAGCCTTAGCCCATGCATGAGGTAAAATGAGAAAATACATTTATTTTGTAATTTCCAATTAACCTTACGCGGGCCGGTCAAAGTCAACCAAAGGGCCGGATGTGGCCCGCGGACCGTAAAATGCCCAGGTCTGACCTAGATGAACTCTGGAATAGGTGAGCAAATCTTATGCTGTTATTTCAAATAAGTTTGCACTATTTTACCTGAAAAACATTAAAAACAGTTCATTGTACATATTCTGGTTAATAACTGTTGCACAAAAGTCTGATTTTTGAGAAAACCAGATTTATACTTTTGCTAACTGTGAATCAGTTTCTAATTGTATTTGGATGTCAAACAATATGGATAATATAGGTATTAATTTTTGATCAGGTTTATTTGCATGACAGATAATTACATGAGTGGATTAATCTGGTGACTTTGATGGCGAGCCTTCTCACTTTGCAAAACATCAGCATTTACGTTTAAACTCCAGAAACAGCGAACAACAAACTGAATAGTGAACAAAGAGATTTAATAAAACACTTTAGTGGCAAACATTTCATTTTCAACCTTTTCTTCTCCAAAAACAAAACATTTAATAAAACTGCTGCCTTTCATTTTCAAGTGGTGCTCGCCGCAGAACCACAAAGGCGGAGCTGCACCATAATGTGGAGCTGCACCAGAGTCAGCCCCGTCCATTTCATCAGAGTCAGTCCAATTCCTTCCAGTTGTCAGACTTGATAGCATTCTGGAACCAAAGAGGGTGTTATAGCTAATATCATCTAAAATGCAAGATTGAGGACAGAGTTGAGAAGTTAATTGAACAGTTTTTGTAAAGGTTCCATATAATTAAAAATCTAACTTTTGGAACTTTTAATCATGTTATATTGTCATTTCCTCATAAGAAACACACCAAAGCCATTTTTGGCCTCATTCATGCATTTTCCTCCCATCTCAGCTTCAATTTGGTCTCCTCCCCTGAAGTGGGTCTGGTCTTGGTTCTCAAATCTGGATATTCTGTGAATTTTCTGGCAAATTATTTCTGAAATGACTTCTACTGAGACACCGCCAATAAACCATACATCCTATCTGCAAAGACACACTGGATAGCACAATTACGTGTAACGCCACTTACTTTTTATCAGATGTGGTGGGGTAGTGGCTATGGATGTAGATTGACATGTAGTTTTGCGCAGGTTCGCCTCCCAGTAGCAGAAATATTAGGTAGTTTACAACCCCTTTTCTTCATTTCTAGCCACACTTGCCAGTACTATGTTTACAACAATTTACTGGTATACCGTTTACAATATAATGACTAATGTGTTTTTTATTTATTTATTCGTTTATTTAGCCAGTGTGAGTCCATTTGTGAGCAGAGTTTCAACTAAAATGCTGTTTAGGAATGACCAAATTCAAAGAACTTGTAGAGACATAAATATTTTGCTGAAAATAAACAATACAACTAAAATATAAACAAATTAAATCTTTCAGCTGGCTAAATAGATAGACGCCGACCCCACCGAGAATCGAACCAGCATCAGCTGAGGGCAAAGCAAAATTTAACTGAGACAATCTTGCCACTGGACTACCACAGCACATTTGATAATCCACTTGCTGTTGTACGACAGTTTTGTTAGAGCAGCTGTGGGCAGAAAATCGCTAAAAGAAACCTTTTCATTTCGAGATATATTCAGGCTTTGTTATGTAGCAAGTTATATTTATCTTGTTTAATTGGAGCATAGAACATAGCATTAACATTTGTAAAGCAGTAACAGCCGTAATTCATGTGGGTAAGGTTAGTTTGCGATAAAGTTGAAAAACAAAAACGGAAGTCAGTGGGCTAGGCTGAGTTTGCGTGAATGGGCGGGGCTGACCCTGGTGCAGCTTCACCTTATGGTGCAGCTCCGCCTTTGTGGTTCTGCAGCGAGCACCCTCTCTTCATTTTAGTTAAAAGAGCTTCCAGATCAGTAGCACATTTCATTCAACACCCTCAGAAGTCCCAAAATATATATTTTATTTACGTTCATTAATTCTGTCCTGTGTGGACTCTCGTGTGAAAGTTTAAACTTCTCTTTTGAGCAAATCTTTGTCCACAGAGCTCACAAGAAAAAGGCTTCTGTCCTGTGTGGACTCTAAAATGAGTGTTTAAATATGTCTTTCGACTAAACCTTTGTCCACAGAGATCACAAGCAAAAGGCTTCTGTCCTGTATGGACTCTCATGTGTGAGTCTAAATTTCCCTTTTGGGTAAATCTTTGTCCACAGAGCTCACAAGCAAAAGGCTTCTGTCCTGTGTGGACTCTCATGTGTGTGTCTAAATTTCCCTTTTGGGTAAATCTTTGTCCACAGAGCTCACAAGTAAAAGGCTTCTCCTCTGTGTGAACTCTCATGTGTCTGTCTAAACTTGACTTTACACTAAATCTTTGTCCACAGAGATCACAAGCAAAAGGCTTCTGTCCTGTGTGGACTCTCATGTGACTGTTTAAACTAGACTTTACCCTACACCTTTGTCCACAGAGCTCACAAGCAAAAGGCTTCTGTCCAGTGTGAATTCTCATGTGTCTGTCTAACCTTGACTTTACACTAAATCTTTTTCCACAGAGATCACAAGCAAAAGGCTTCTGTCCTGTGTGGACTCTCATGTGTCTGTCTAATCTAGACTTTACCCTATACCTTTGTCCACAGAGCTCACAAGCAAAAGGCTTCTCCCCTGTGTGACCTCTCATGTGTCTGTCTAAACTTGACTTTACACTAAATCTTTGTCCACAGAGATCACAAGCAAAAGGCTTCTGTCCTGTGTGGACTCTCATGTGTGAGTCTAAATGTCCCTTTAGGGTAAATCTTTGTCCACAGAGCTCACAAGCAAAAGACTTCTGTCCTGTATGGACTCTCATGTGTTTGTCTAAATTTCCCTTTTGGGTAAACCTTTGTCCACAGAGCTCACAAGCAAAAGGCTTCTGTCCTGTATGGACTCTCATGTGTGTGTCTAAATTTCCCTTTTGGGTAAACCTTTGTCCACAGAGCTCACAAGCAAAAGGCTTCTGTCCTGTATGGACTCTCATGTGTCTGTTTAAATGTGACTTATGACTAAATCTTTGTCCACAGAGCTCACAAGTAAAAGGCTTCTCCCCTGTGTGAACTCTCATGTGACTGTTTAAACTAGACTTTACCCTACACCTTTGTCCACAGAGCTCACAAGCAAAAGGCTTCTGTCCAGTGTGAATTCTCATGTGACTGTTTAAATTTGATATGGAGCTGAAACTTTTTCCACAGTCGTCACAACTAAATGATTTTAGTTTTGTCTGAACTTTCCTGCTAGAGTCTACATTTTGCTTCACTCTAACACGTTTCTTATCAACACAACAGCTTGAAGACTTCAGTCCTGAAGGACTTGTCACTCTCATGTGTTTCTGGAGAGACCGCTCATGGAGAAACTGTTCACCACACTCTGGGCAGCTGAAAGATTTGACAGCCTTAACATGTGATTTAGAAGACCTGCTCTCCTTCCAGTCTTTGTTATCATCTTTGGTGTTTGGCTCAGAATCTGACAAGAGTTTCAGCTGACAGTCAGAATCGTTGCCATCCTGGTCATCATCTTCATCATTGCTGACTTCAGTCTCTGAAGAGTTAGAATCATATTCATAAAGATTTAGATCTGGATTCCTGGTAGTTTCTGCTCCTCCACAGTCCTCTCTACCACTTTCTGCTTTCATCTGGTCAGTGGTGCTGCTGGTTGGAAGATCTCTGTCTTTAGGTTGGTTCTGATCAAACTGTGACAACAGAACTTCTCTTCCTTCTTCCTTAACCTGATGAGAAACTGCAGAGAATGAAATGTTGGTGGCATCAGTTTTAATCTCATCAAGCTGCTCCTCCTCTTCCTGCTTCATGTTGAGGGGCTCCATGTCCTTCTGGTTCAAAGGAGGCCTCAGTTCTTCAGGAGCTCTTCCTTCTTCCTTAAACTGACACAAAACTACAGAGAATGAATTATCACAGTTTAAAATGAATTTGAATATAACAAAACTTTAAAATGTATTTTACTTTGAAAAACCAGTACTGCTGTTTTTCCCCGTGTGCGAAGGAGCCGGCTTCTGTGCGGTGCGCTGCTCTCACGAGTTAAAGAAAACTACAGGGAGAGAAAAGGTGGAAGAAAGGAACCTTACGTTAGAAGAAGGCATTTTTAGTTCAGACCTGTGAAAACCAGCTTCATGCTAACGCACGCTGCTACATGTGAACAGTAACATAGTCAATGTGGTCTGTCGTTAATGCGTAATTCCAGATCGGTAACAGCGTACAGCTTCATGTCGGGTCATGTTCCCACCGAGACTCATTTCTGCTCGCATTTTCAGAAGAAGAGGAAGGAAGCCGAGGAAGATGTTGAGGTAACGTTAGATGAATATGCTCATTGTTCTTTATCGTGACCCAGTTCCCTCTGAGTGATCTGTACCGTGATACGTGTGATATTCCCAACGTTCCTATTGGTGACTGAAGGGAATCTAACATGTGGCTAATATATTAGACTTGTAGGCTGAAGTGGAGGAGGTGAGTGAAGGAGAGACAAGTGGAGAGGCAGAGCAAGGAGCAGCATGATGATGGAGAGAGCAGCAGGGAAGCAGAGAATCTGGCTGGGACCCAAAATGTTCCTCCCATGGCTGTAGCACAACAGTCAAGCATTACAATTCATGTCAAGTTAAATAAATATTTTATTTTATTTTAATTAAACATGAGCTGTTTTACACACTCCTGCATTAATGTTCACCAAAAACACACAGTCTCATGTCTCAGAACGACCGTCTCCATACGTCTCTACCACCCTGCATTTAGGGGCGTGGTCCTGGTCAACACCATCTCCTGAACTCCAAACTGAAGGTCAGAATGGGAAAGAAAGGTGATTTAAGCTAATCTGAGCGTGGCATGGTTGTTGGTGCCAGACGGGCCGGTCTGAGTATTTCACAATCTGCTCAGTTACTGGGATTTTCACCCACAACCACTTCTAGGGTTTACAAAGAATGGTGTGAAAAGGGAAAAACATCCAGTATGCGGCAGTCCTGTGGGCCAAATGCCTTGTTGATGCTAGCGGTCAGAGGAGAATGGGCCGACTGATTCAAGCTGATAGAAGAGCAAATGATAGAGACTACTCCCTGGTTTAATGACAGCCTTCGCAGCCTGAAGCGCCAATGCAGAAACATTTGAGCGTTTGTGGAAGAAAACCCATCTCCACGTCCATCTGCTGCACCTAAAGGATCTTCTGACATCCTTTAAAGCCGGGCGTACACTGTGCGACTTTTTCACTCGTAGCGTTCAGCTTCAGCTCAAACTGTACGACTTCCTCGCAGAACAGATCTCACGAGTCCTGTGCTCACACTGTACGTCTGGTAGCAACACGTCGGCCCTAAAATATGCTAAAAATAGCAGTTTTTACTCAACACGTCAGACTTTTTTGTCTTGTCTTGCCTGTTGTCCTTCGGGAGTGCTGCAGGAGGACACACAGGGATTTATGGGGGTTGGATGAGTAAAACGAAATAAGAAAGTAAATCTGTGTTTTGTGATCAGTTTAATTTGACATGAACACGACAAACACACTTTCTTGACAATCTCTGTGAGTAAAAAAACGTGTAGAAATAAAAACGAACAGCGTGTGTTATTAGGGAAATAGCGGGGGAGCGGAGTTGATGCAGGATTGCGCGCGCATGCGCCGTGAGCGGTTCTGATACTTTTTTGGGTCGCAGCTGCTCGCAGCGCCGCTTCAACAGTGCGATACCCTCACGAGGGACGAGCGAAATATTAAACACACCAGAAGTCCCTGCGACCTCACGACTGCTGATCGGCGGCTGGTCACGTGGTGTTAATCGCCTCTCGTAACCCCCGGTACACGACACGACGCTCGGCACAAAACTCGCCTCGATGTCGTGGATTCTCGCACGACTGGAAAATCGGCTCAAAAAAGTGAAAAAGTCGCACAGTGTACGCCCGGCTTTACTCTGCAGTCAGAGACGCTAGGGTTTCCTATTTCTCCAACCTGGTGTCCCAGAGCAAAGGGAACCCCAAGCTGCTGTTTAACACCATCAGCAGCACCGTCTCTCCTGCCTCTCCTACAGCCTCCATCCACTCTGTTGCAGACTGTGAGAACTTTCTGTCTTTCTTTGTGGACAAAGTCAATAAGGTTAGATCTAGCATCTCTCCTTCAGCCTCCACCACCTCCCTTACCCATGGTGTCCAGTGTTTCCCCTAGGATTTTTCCAGCTGTGGCGGTGGGGCCGGTGGGGGGGTGGGGGGGGCCTTGGGGAGAAATTATGACACGTCTCTAAATAAAGTAAAAGTTTCCAGTGCAGAGTGGAGACAACCCATAGAAGCACTGATTTGATCTCATTTCAGAGAAAAATAGAACAGGTCAGATGCACCTAATAAATAAAATTACTAACAAACTCAGGAATGTTTCTTTGCTTCACTGTTCTGGTGCTGAGAATATCACTAATGCGGATCAAAGGAGATACACAGATGAATGCACCTCTTATTTATTATATGGAAACTACATTTACTGCAGCTGGCAGAGGCAGAGATTGTTTCTATTGATACACGGATTTACAGAATCATTTTAAATGTTAATAGGGGAAGACTGCTAGCCTGGAAAGCCAGACTAAATAAATGTATTATTTAGTCTGGCCACGCTCCATTGACGGCTCTCGGTTGTGGGGCGGGTTCTACTGTTGTCTTTCAAATGATCTCCGCATTCCACTGGACAATGAATGTGACATACTCTTGTTTCACTCTGTTGCATCATCCCACCCACCAGGCATATAGAGTGCCCTGATTGGCCCACAAAGCGGATAAAGCTCTGATTTGTTCACTAAGCAGATAGAGCACTATGATTGGCCCACCATTATGGACCAATCACAGCTCTTTATGTGTTTGAAACCCCTCTAGAGAGCTGTGATTGGCTAGCCAGAGTCCTGGTAGGAGCTGCGGAGGCTCTAATGGAGCGTGCCTAGACCAAAATTTGCAAAGCAAGAATTTGGTCTAGTTCACTAAGCTAGAAGACTGCAGGAGGGAGCGGTAAAATACAGGGGGTCCCCAGCAAAAACAAGAAACTTTACGAGTCTGATGAAACCCGCTGGTTTTCCATCAGGCAGTCACGGGGCAGCTCCATCGACCCAGTGGCTGTGCTGGGTCAATGTTATCGAGCTCAGTCCGGCTCGGCAGAGGGTGAACGAGCCGAGGCGACGTCGTGCTCTGCTTAAGAAGCGGTGTTATTTTCCCGCTTCAGAAGAGCGTCCAACGTGTTTTTACGCTTTCTCCGGGACATGTCACGTCGCTAAGTTGTTAGCGCCGCGCGCTAACACGTCAATAGTGCAGCGTAGCCTGCTGGAGGTTTTAAGGGTTCCGATGAAAACACCCGACCTCTCAGGCTGCTCACACATCGATCTTAAGTTGTCGCTGTTGCGCTCACGTCGTAATACAGTATTAGATGCGGTTAAAGTCAGACATGAAAAAATAAATAAATTTTACATGAATTTTTTTTTTAATTATATTTTTATTGAAAAAAGAAAACAACACTACTTGCAATTACCAAAATACAATTAACCTTTCTTCATTTTTTCTAGGTGAATAACAACAATCAGACAGAACAACAACAACAACAAAAAAAAAGGGGGGACAAGACAATTAGACAAAAAAAAAACCATACCAAACACCCCCCCCCACCCCCCACCCCCCCACCCCCCCGTCCCTGTCCCACACAGATCAACACAACCGTCAAACATATTACCGGAATATAACAATAACAGAAGTACAATTAAACAGGTAATACCTCTAAACTAGTAAAATAAGAGATAAAGGGTTGCCACTTATGAAAAAAACTCAGCGTATATTTAATTTTTTCAAGTTTTAAAAAAAACATGACATCTTTAAGCCACTGGGAAACAGTAGGACACTTAGCAGACTTCCAATGTAACAATATCAAACGTCTCGCTAATAGGGATGTGAAGGCAATGATATCCTTTTGTGTGGAGTCCAGTATAAGTGAGCGGTCAGGAATCCCGAATACCGCAATCAGAGGACAAGGATGAAGAGTTACCCCAAGAACAGTTGACATAATAGCAAAATACCCTGTCCAGAAACGTTGTAGCTCAGGACACAAAAAAAACATGTGGCTAAGGTGACAAGGAGAACCCTGGCATTTATCACATTTATTTTCCACTTCCGGATACAGTTCAGAAAGTCTAGACTTAGAGAAATGCACCCTATGAATGACCTTAAATTGGATAAGTCCAAGACGAGCGCAGGAGGTGGAAGATCGTACCCTTGCTATAGCCTGTTCCCAAGACTCCTCATGTATTCCAATTCCTAGTTCTCCTTCCCATATACCCCTAAGCTTAACCTTAGAGTGGTTAGTAAGAGACAGAATAGCATCATAAAGTTTCGAAATGGTTCCTCTGTGATGAGGAATAAAATTTAACATAGTTTCCCACCGCTGTTCTGGAGGTAAAAAGGGGAAATTCGGGAAACACTTGGCAACAAAATTTCGAATTTGAAAATAGCGAAACAAATGGGTAATAGGGAGATTATAACGAGAAGACAAATTGGGGAAACTATCGAACACACCATCCACATATATATGTTTAAACTGTCCTATACCCTTGTCACACCACACTGAGAATGTCGTGTCCAAAAGTGAAGGGGGAAACAAATGATTGCTGGTTAGAGGACCCGAAGAGGATGGCATTACAAAATTATTGTGTCGTCTAAACTGAAACCAGATTTTGAGTGTGTTAAGAACCACCGGATTATCAGTATACAAAGAGGGTTTTACGGGTAAAGAGGAATAGAGCAAAGCTGGTAAAGAGGAGCCCTTACATGATAATAGCTCCAATTTACACCACGAGGAACCAGAAGATTTTAGCCAGTAGCAGAGTTTTTGAATGTGAGCGGCCCAGTAATAAGCTAGAAAATTAGGTAATGCAAGTCCTCCACTAAATCTGCATTGCTGCAGCAACGTTTTAGAAACCCTAGGCGGCTTCCCTCCCCAAATAAAAGAACCAATAATCTTGTCCAGTGAAGCAAAGAAATGTTTAGGCAAAAATAAGGGAATTGAGTGAAATAAAAATAAAAATTTTGGTAGGATATTCATTTTAACGACATTAATCTTACCGATTAAAGAAAGCGGGAGATTACCCCATCTTTGAATATCAGATGTGATCCTAGATAAAAGAGGAGACAAATTTGCTGATTTAAGGCCAGATAGAGAGCGAGTCACGTTAACCCCTAAGTACTTAAACCCAGAGGGACTAAGACGAAAGGGTAGATCGGACTGTTGGAGTTGACGTGCTGCCGTATTAACAGGAAAACACTCACTTTTCCCTAAATTTAATTTATAACCTGAAAACAAGCTGAAGTTCTCCAGAATACTTAAAACAGCAGGAATGGAGCGAGCAGGGTCAGTCATATATAATAACAAGTCATCCGCATACAATGATACTTTATGTGTAATTCCATTACGGGGGATTCCCTTGAATACAGAAGAAGATCTTAATGTAATGGACAGCGGCTCGATGGCAATGGCAAAGAGTAAAGGTGACAAAGGGCAACCTTGACGACAACCACGACCCAGCGCAAAATAATCAGAATAAACATCATTAGTGTGAACACTGGCTTTAGGGGATGAATAAAGAAGCTGAATCCAAGAAGTGAATTTATCACCAAAACCAAATTTCTTCAAAACTGCAAAATAAATTTTACATGAATAAGTGATGCTTAGCCTGGTTGGGGGAGGAGAACCTGTCAAGATCGTCAACACTCGTTTATCTCAATGCTGCTGAAACATGTAAACCACAAAGCATTATATCCACTGCTACCTTTCTAATTTTAAACTCAGTAACTTATGCTGTAACTGCACCTTGCCCTGCCTGCTCCTCCTTGCTGCCTGCCGGCTGAGATCACAAGCGACAACATGGTAGTTCCCGCTACTTCTTCGGGAAACAGCACAAAAAATAAAAACTTGGGATCTTGTAGGCGTGGCAGTGGGAATCCAGCCGTGGCGGGCCGCCACGGCTACGCCTATGTAAGGGAAACCCTGGTGTCCCACAAGGTTCTGTGCTGGGGCATCTGCTCTTCATCCTCTATCTGCTTCCTCTTCAGCACATCCTGAGCTCCTTCAAAGGAATCTCCTACCATCTTTATGCAGATGACATCCAACTGTACATCTCCTTTAAGCCCCGTGAGATGTCTAAGCTGCAGCTGTTACACACCTGCTTAGACTCTATCAAAACCTGGATGGTGGGAGCTTTCTTCAGCTGAATGAAGATAAGACTGAGATCCTCATCTGTGCCCCAGACAAGCTGGTTCCCAAAGTCAGAGACTCTATTGGTCAGCTTGCTTCTCACACCAAACCTTCTGTCAGGAATCTTGGCGTGACCTTTGACCCAGCTCTCACCCTGGATTCTCATGCCAGTTCTCTTGTTCGCTCTTCCTTCTTCCATCTCAGGAACGTTGCTAAGCTGAGTCCCATTCTGTCCCGCTCTGAACTTGAGACAGTTCTCCACACCTTCATCTCCTCACGCTTAGACTACTGTAACTCTCTTTTCACGTGTCTGAGCAGAACCTCCCTGAAGCGTCTACAGGTGGTTCAGAACGCCTGTGCTCGGCTTCTGACCAAGTCCTCCAAACACACCCACATCACCCCGCTTCTCCTCCAGCTTCACTGGCTGCCAGTCAACTTCAGGGTTCATTTCAAGATCCTGGTTCTGGTCTATAGGGCCTTACATGGACAAGCACCATCTTACATTGGTGATCTTCTTAGTCCCTACACCCCCAGCAGGTGTCTGAGGTCCAGTGAACAAAGCCTACTGGTTGTGCAGCACCAGGCTAAAGGTCAAAGGTGACAGATTGTCTGCTGCTGTGGCCCCGAGACTCTGAAACTCTCTCCCCCTGAGCCTGACATCAGTGGACTCCTTTAAAACACAGCTGAAGACTCACTTGTTCAGGCTGGCTTTTGTATGACCTTCGTGATTTTTATCTTGAGAGGCGCTATAGAAATGATACTTTCTTCTTCTTCTTCCCCGTCCAACAGGGAGGACAACCACCTTCCTCAGACCACGCTGGTCTGCGTTATCAGTTATACTCCCATGGGAAACAGCATGTTGACTGAATGCACCTGGTTTTGTTTGAGGGAGTTGTGGTATTGTTTTTACTCCCTACGTTAAACAGCTTTCCACCTGAATCTCTACGGAGCAGTTTAGGAGTGTGATGTGATGTGTTGTGTGTGCTTGCTAATAAAACCCCTCAGAGAACGGATGTTCCCTGAGAGATCCTGTGAACGATGCTTGGGTGTGTATTCATTTCGTCTCTTTTTTTTTACCGTGTCCTGTCTGGCTGTGAAGCAAACAGAATTGATGTCTGAATGCTGGTGACAAGCCTTACAGATTTACTCTCAGGTGGAGCATCAAAGCGTCTGCTTTTAATGTCACGCCTGATACTTAAAACTTTATTGTTATTGTTGTTGAATGCTTTGTAATTCCGACCAGACACGGAGACAGAGGTGAAAGAGAAAGGAAAAGACAAGAGGCGGGGAGATGGGGGGAAGGGGGTGGGAGGTTCCACAAAAATAAACAATAATGAACTAGAGTCTGCTTCTAGACCTGCAGAAAGAGAAAAGATTTAAAAAAAAAAAGGGACACCCTGAACAATACATCAGGAGCAAGCTATCACTGCGTCAACCTGATGATGAAATATAAAATCAACATTGTTTAACTGAACAATCACACGATAATAAATCACAGTGCATTTAGTGGCAACGACAGCCTTAAGACCTGTGTTGAACGTGCCCAAGCCCATACTTTTGAGAGCACCTGTGTGTGTACACGCACTTGTTTATGTAAGGTTTCTCTATAGGAGCGTCCAATAGAGAGTGTGAGGGACCACAGATGTGTAGGAGACGGGGGGGGGGTCGCTGTCCTGAGCCCATAACCCGCTCCGGCTGCTTCTGTCACGTTCAGCCAACCATCGGACACGCCACTCGTCACGGATGAAGCTGAACGTTCAGCTCTCCCGTCAGTAAAACAAGCAGTAAGTGCAGCAACTCAGTGTTGTCCACATATATAATATCTGCAACAATGATTCAAGTGGTTTCACTGTGTTAAGCATCAGTCTAATGTGCTCTGTTATGTTATGCATCTGTGTAAATATGTAGATAAGAATGTGTGTGTATATACATGTATGCTTTTATACTGAAAAGTACCTGTAGAGGAAGTTAAACTTTGACCCCATAAAGTGACCAATAAAAGGGAGCATTGGTGTTTAGTGGCTGCAATCAGTGTGTGCTACCACCAGTGAAGGCCCGTGAAACAGACGCTCTATATATGGATTTATTTCCTCCTTTTTAATCCTGGAGATTCATTTTGGAGTCTTGGACCAACCGCTGGGTAAACGAAACTCTGCTAACACACTGAACATCCTAATCATCTATGAAGCACACGACAGCTCTGGATGCTAAAATTCTCCTAAATCATTCATGAATAAATCTGATCACACGATAGCTTACAGATAACTTCTGCTGACACAAATGTGAGCTCTCTCCCTCTCGGTTACCATGGAGACGCATTTGCTGCACACGCACCACCGGTTCTGTCCTGCTCTCGCTTCATCCCGCCCTTCTTGCTCTTCATGTTGATGCTCGTTTTGTGACACATGGTCAGTGATGTCATCATTAATGTTTCGCTCTGGTTCAAAGTGAAAAGGCTGAACAGATGACGTGTTGATGTCGCTCAACAGTCACTACAGGGTCCCAAAGCCGCCGGTGCAACCGAGGTACAACCATATGACGTCACTACCCAGAGTGCAGTGCGACGCTAACAACAATGGCGATCTACGAGTTAAACCATTTTTACTAATTTTATAAAGATTAAGACATCAAGAAGGTTTTTACACCATTTTAATATAACTGATACTAACATTTATCTTTTAAGAAGCACAGAGTTTTGTAACCTGGGTTCCTTTTAAAATGACAACTTTTGTCGCCAATGGCAGTGAATGAGTTAATGATGATGAGGGTGGCTCCTAGAGGCTGAGGTGTAGGGCTAAAGTGTCATCACTCACTTTGGTCTGGTCCAGACGCCGTCTCTTTACTGGTGCTCCTCAGTAGGTGACGTGAAGCTCCAACATCTGAGCGTTCTGTGTTCCTCAGAGGAGAAGAAAAGTAACATTAGCACTGCCTACATTATTTTTACTAGCATCTCAAGGCCTTGGAGAAGCAGATCTTCACTTACCTAAACATCAGACCAGTGTGTCCCAGCTGAGCTCATCAGGGCTTTAGTCTGACAGCCTGTCAGTGAAACACGGCTCCAGCCTTCTGGATGTGGACTCTAAAAAGCAAAGGAGCCTTTTTACTGTTGTTTTCATTATTTTACAGCTGATTTGATCAGATTTCTGACGCTCATGCAGACGAGTGTCGGTGAGAGTTAAAGCTTTAATGTATTTTCCTGTCTTAAATGTTCTTTTTAAGTAATCATGTGTTAAAGTACGTCTCAGGGCGTTGTCCTTTCAGCCCAGCTCTGGTATGCTGATAAGACATGTAATTTGTCTCTGTGGGGGTTGGTGGAATAATCTGCCCGGCAACAGGAACCCATAGTTTCTGAGTCACTCAGCAGTTTTTGGCTGACCAGGGCTGACTCCGACACGTGCCGGTGAACCAACCCACCTTCATGTTGCTAGTGTTAGCCCCAGGCTCCGGTTAGCTTCCAGCTAAAAGGCTACAGAACTCTCCTCCCAGTCCCACCCTGCTAAAGAGGGCCTGGAAAAGTTCCCCCACACATCAAAGTGATTTTTCATTTATGAGCTTTTATAACCTTGTTAATCAGGATAGTTGATTTGCTGCTGCACATAAACTGTCAGTCAGAAGCTCTGCTAGCCGCTTATCTTAGAGGAGCTAGTTCACTTTGTTAGCTTGTTATCAGAATCATAGTTGCAGTTTCATCATCGGAGCTGCTTTTTAAATTCAAATTCAATTTTTATTTGTCACATACACATTCATACACAGTACAAAATGCAGTGAAATGCCTTACACAACTGCTCGTGACCTAAGAGTTGAAAATAAAAATAAACTGTACACCACAAATTAAAATGAAGGGTCAGTTTAACTGGGAAAGAGTTAAGTAAATTATATCTGAATTAAAGTTGAATAATAGAATAGCTTTACAACAAAATACACAATACAATACAAATTAGAATAAAAGCTAAATTTAGCTGGGAAGGAATAAGATAAAATATATATAAGTTGTAGTTGAGAATAAAGTAACTGTACAACAAAATACACAGTATGTAAATGTATAAGAATGTATGAAGAAATAAAAATATCTGTACAAAACAGCAGCTGAACGAGTATTAAATGGAAATGAAAAAAATATATATATATAATGATGAATAAGATCTAGGTAAACTTGTTCAATTTGGGGTTAAAAACAAACGTTTTCACATATTTTACATGTAGTTTTTTTTTTCCAGTTCCTCTTCTGAAAGGTAGACAATTGTTTTTCTCTTTCCCTCAGAAAATCTTAATATTCTCCTAGTTTGGCCCAGCACAGTTCACTTCCCAGTTACAGCAACAGCCTTATATCATAACCACATAAGTGGAGAACATGTTCAGTAGCAATGAGAGAATTAGCTGTTGCATTTAAGTGATGTTAACTATTATTTAACATTTAAACTTATTTTCTGATTTTTTTTTATTTATTTATTCTAAAAACCCTGGTAAGGGATGTTTTTCTGTATTTGGAGCATCAGAGAAAGTTTTATGGTGGAGGTGATGTTTTAAAGTCACTGAGAAACTGCATGCTAGCAGTTTGTTGTTTTGCTGCTAATACAGTAGCAGGTGCAGCTGCTAATACGGTAGCAGGCGCAGCTGCTAATACAGTAGCGGGTGCAGCTGCTAATACAGTAGCGGGTGCAGCTGCTAATACAGTAGCAGGTGCAGCTGCTAATACAGTAGCGGGTGCAGCTGCTAACACGGTAGCGGGTGCAGCTGCTAATACAGTAGCAGATGCAGCTGCTAATACAGTAGCGGGTGCAGCTGCTAACACTGTAGCGGGTGCAGCTGCTAAAACAGTAGCAGGTGCAGCTGCTAAAACAGTAGCAGGTGCAGCTGCTAATACAGTAGCAGGTGCAGCTGCTAATACGGTAGCGGGTGCAGCTGCTAATACAGTAGCAGGTGCAGCTGCTAATACAGTAGCGGGTGCAGCTGCTAATACGGTAGCAGGTGCAGCTGCTAATACAGTAGCAGGTGCAGCTTCTAATACTGTAGCGGGTACAGCTGCTAATACGGTAGCAGGTGCAGCTGCTAATACAGTAGTGGGTGCAGCTGCTAATACGGTAGCGGGTGCAGCTGCTAACACGGTAGCAGGTGCAGCTGCTAACACAGTAGCAGGTGCAGCTTCTAATACTGTAGTGGGTGCAGCTGCTAATACGGTAGCGGGTGCAGCTGCTAATACAGTAGCGGGTGCAGCTGCTAATACAGTAGCTGGTGCAGCTTCTAACACGGTAGCAGGTGCAGCTGCTAATACAGTAGCGGGTGCAGCTGCTAATACATTAGCAGGTGCAGCTGCTAATACAGTAGCGGGTGCAGCTGCTAACACGGTAGCAGGTGCAGCTGCTAACACGGTAGCAGGTGCAGCTGCTAATACAGTAGCGGGTGCAGCTGCTAATACATTAGCGGGTGCAGCTGCTAATACAGTAGCTGGTGCAGCTGCTAACACGGTAGCAGGTGCGGCTGCTAATACAGTAGCGGGTGCAGCTGCTAATACATTAGCAGGTGCAGCTGCTAATACAGTAGCAGGTGCAGCTGCTAATACTGTAGCGGGTACAGCTGCTAATACAGTAGCAGGTGCAGCTGCTAATACAGTAGCAGGTGCAGCTGCTAATACGGTAGCGGGTGCAGCTGCTAATACAGTAGCAGGTGCAGCTGCTAATACGGTAGCGGGTGCAGCTGCTAATACGGTAGCGGGTGCAGCTGCTAACACGGTAGCTTGTGCAGCTGCTAATACAGTAGCGGGTGCAGCTGCTAATACATTAGCAGGTGCAGCTGCTAATACAGTAGCAGGTGCAGCTGCTAATACTGTAGCGGGTACAGCTGCTAATACAGTAGCAGGTGCAGCTGCTAATACAGTAGCAGGTGCAGCTGCTAATACGGTAGCGGGTGCAGCTGCTAATACGGTAGCAGGTACAGCTGCTAATACAGTAGCGGGCGCAGCTGCTAACACGGTGGCAGGTGCAGCTGCTAATACAGTAGCGGGCGCAGCTGCTAATAATACAGTAGCGGGTGCAGCTGCTAATACATTAGCAGGTGCAGCTGCTAATACAGTAGCAGGTGCAGCTGCTAATACAGTAGCGGGTACAGCTGCTAATACAGTAGCAGGTGCAGCTGCTAATACAGTAGCGGGTGCAGCTGCTAATACGGTAGCGGGTGCAGCTGCTAATACGGTAGCAGGTACAGCTGCTAATACGGTAGCGGGCGCAGCTGCTAACACGGTAACAGGTGCAGCTGCTAATACAGTAGCGGGCGCAGCTGCTAATACAGTATTAGGTGCAGCTGCTAATACAGTATTAGGTGCAGCTGCTAATACAGTAGCAGGTGCAGCTGCTAATACGGTAGCAGGTGCAGCTGCTAATACAGTAGCGGGTGCAGCTGCTAACACTGTAGCGGGTGCAGCTGCTAATACAGTAGCAGGTGCAGCTGCTAATACAGTAGCGGGTGCAGCTGCTAATACAGTAGCGGGTGCAGCTGCTAATACAGTAGCGGGTGCAGCTGCTAATACAGTAGCGGGTGCAGCTGCTAATACAGTAGCGGGTGCAGCTGCTAATACAGTAGCGGGTGCAGCTGCTAATACTGTAGCGGGTACAGCTGCTAATACAGTAGCAGGTGCAGCTGCTAATACAGTAGCAGGTGCAGCTGCTAATACGGTAGCGGGTGCAGCTGCTAATACGGTAGCAGGTACAGCTGCTAATACAGTAGCGGGCGCAGCTGCTAACACGGTAGCAGGTGCAGCTGCTAATACAGTAGCGGGCGCAGCTGCTAATACAGTATTAGGTGCAGCTGCTAATACAGTATTAGGTGCAGCTGCTAATACAGTAGCAGGTGCAGCTGCTAATACAGTAGCAGGTGCAGCTGCTAATACGGTAGCAGGTGCAGCTGCTAATACGGTAGCAGGTGCAGCTGCTAATACAGTAGCGGGTGCAGCTGCTAACACTGTAGCGGGTGCGGCTGCTAAAACAGTAGCAGGTGCAGCTGCTAATACAGTAGCGGGTGCAGCTGCTAACACTGTAGCGGGTGCAGCTGCTAATACAGTAGCAGGTGCAGCTGCTAATACAGTAGCGGGTGCAGCTGCTAATACAGTAGCGGGTGCAGCTGCTAATACAGTAGCGGGTGCAGCTGCTAATACAGTAGCGGGTGCAGCTGCTAATACAGTAGCAGGTGTAGCTGCTAATACAGTAGCAGGTGCAGCTGCTAATACAGTAGCGGGTGCAGCAGCTAATACGGTAGCATGTGCAGCTGCTAATACAGTAGCGGGTGCAGCTGCTAATACAGTAGCGGGTGCAGCTGCTAACACGGTAGCAGGTGCAGCTGCTAATACAGTAGCAGGTGCAGCTGCTAATACAGTAGCAGGTACAGCTGCTAATACAGTAGCAGGTGCAGCTGCTAATACAGTAGCAGGTATAGCTGCTAATACAGTAGCGGGCACAGCTGCTAGTACAGTATTAGGTGCAGCTGCTAATACATTAGCAGGCACAGCTGCTAACACGGTAGCGGGCGCAGCTGCTAATACAGTAGCGGGCGCAGCTGCTAATACAGTATTAGGTGCAGCTGCTAATACATTAGCAGGCGCAGCTGCTAATACGGTAGCAGGTGCAGCTGCTAATACGGTAGCAGGTGCAGCTGCTAACTCTGTAGCTGGTGCAGCTGCTAATACAGTAGCGGGTGCAGCTGCTAATACAGTAGCGGGTGCGGCTGCTAATACAGTAGCGGGTGCAGCTGCTAATACAGTAGTGGGTGCAGCTGCTAATACAGTAGCGGGTGCAGCTGCTAATACAGTAGCGGGTGCAGCTGCTAATACAGTAGCGGGTGCAGCTGCTAATACAGTAGCGGGTGCAGCTGCTAATACAGTAGCGGGTGCAGCTGCTAATACAGTAGCAGGTGCATCTGCTAATACAGTAGCAGGTGCAGCTGCTAATACAGTAGCGGGTGCAGCTGCTAACACGGTAGCAGGTGCAGCTGCTAATACAGTAGCGGGTGCAGCTGCTAATACATTAGCAGGTGCAGCTGCTAATACAGTAGCAGGTGCAGCTGCTAATACAGTAGCAGGTGCAGCTGCTA